GAGAGAGAGAGAGAGAGAGAGAGAGAGAGAGAGAGAGAGAGAGAGAGAGAAAGAGAAAGATAGAAAAAAGAGAAAGAGAGAGAGAGAGAGAGAAAGAGAGAGAGAGAGAGAGAGAGAGAGAGAGAGAGAGAGAGAGAGAGAGAGAGAGAGAGAGAGAGAGAGAGAGAGAGAGAGAGAGAGAGAGAGAGAGAGAGGCGCAGATAAGAAACTGGAACAGGGCGATAAGGAGGATTCGCACAAGACGAAGCGGAGGCGAAGATGTATGAAGACGAACGACCTCGCGCCGTGGGGAGGGGAGCCGGGTGGGGGGGGGGGTGCATGGGGAGGGTACCATGGGAGAGTAGCGAATGGGGCTAAGAGGGAGGGGAAGAGGACTAGTAGAAAAAGATAAAGAAAGAAAGGGACAAAGAAAAAGAAAAGAAAGGGACAAAGAAGAAGGAAAGAAAGGGACAAAGAAGAAGGAAAGAAAGGGACAAAGAAGAAGGAAAGAAAGGGACAAAGCAGGAATAGAAGAAATCAGTGGAAAAAGGGAGGACCGAAAGCATGAATAAAAGGGAGGAAGAAAGGCCGAAAGAATCAGGGAAGAGAGGCAGGTGAATAAAAAGGAAATACGAAAGGACGGAATGAGTGTAAGAAAGAAATTAAGATATATCATAAGAGAAAGTTGTCACGCTTTTTTGTTTATCTTGTTTTTTTTGCTTATTCACTGTTTATCTGCTGTTTTGATTTACTTTTGAGTTAGTTATCATTTGCTTTTCTCTGTTTTATTTGTTGTATTTATTTCTTATTTGCTTGCATTATTGTTAATTCGCTTATTTATTTGTTTATTTGCTTTTTTTGTTTAATTGCTTACTTTTTTGGTTCTGTTTATATCTATACATATAACTAAATAGACTGGCAAATATTTATTGAAAGTCAAATATACTTTTTAGGTCAACATTCAAATGATCACGTTAATGTATAAAATTCAACCCAAATGTAATTACGTTCCATCTATTTTCTTACAATAGACAGTTCGATAGACATGCTTTGACGAGAAAAAAACATATTGAATTATCATGATCTAATAACTGATAAATTTACTCGATAGAACGAAAACATTAATTCTCTTGTTATCGTTTCAATTAACAGTAATTTTCCCTCCCGACACCTAATCTAGATGCGGAATCGCTCGATTAGATAAAAAAAAGAAAAGAAAAGAAAAAAATAGAGAAAGCGGGAAATTAGCATAAACAAGACTTAATCAAACCGCTCCCTTGCCTCCCTTTTTCCCTCCGTCTCGGTGTCTCTTCTCCCTTTCCTTCACTCTATGTGTCCCTCTCCCCTATTCCTCCCTCTCTTCGTCCCTCTCCCCTATCCCTCCCTCTCTTCGTCCCTCTCCCCTATCCCTCCCTCTCTTCGTCCCTCTCCCCTATCCCTCCCTCTCCTCGTCCCTCCCCCTTATCCCTCCCTCTCTTCGTCCCTCCCCCCTATCCCTCCCTCTCTGTGTCCCTCCCTTATTCTCGATGCCTCCCCCCCTTCCTACCCCCCCCTCTCCCAATGTCTCGCATCTCCCGTGGAAATCAGCCTTCCAATAGTCGACACTAGGATCAGGCTACACAAGATCCAAAATCGCTTGATGATCTCCCTCCCTCCGTATCATCTTACCATGTTATTGCAATTAACTCCCAGAATCACGGAGTCGCTTAACCACTAATCAGGGGCGGCAACGAGGGGAGGAGGGGGAGGGGAGGGAGGAGGGAAGGGGAGGAGAAGAGGGAAGGGAAGAAAGGGAGGGAAAGATGGGAAGAAGGGGTGAAGAAGAAGGGTAGGGGGGAGGAGGGAAGGGGAGGAGAAGAGGGAAGGGAAGAAAGGAAGGGAAAGATGGGAAGAAGGGGTGAAGAAGAAGGGTAGGGGAGAGGAGGGAAGGGGAGGAGAAGAGGGAAGGGAAGAAAGGAAGGGAAAGATGGGAAGAAGGGGTGAAGAAGAAGGGTAGGGGAGAAGAGAGGAAGGGAGGGGAGAGGTATATAGAAGGGGAGAGGATGAAGGAGATGGGAGTGGATAAAGAATAGGAGAGAAGAAGGGAAAGGAGGAAGGGGAGAGGAGGAGAGAAGAGGGAGGGTAGGGGAGAGGAGGAGAGGGGAAGGGGATGGGTTGATATTAAAGATAATTGAGGAAGAGAAGGGAAAGGAGACGGAAGATGAGGGAAGGTAGAAAAAGAGGAGAAGAAAGAAAGTAAGGGAAAGCAAAGGGTGAGACTAGAAATAGAAGATATCCAAAAAGCAAAACAATAACATCAGCAGTAATAATAACATCAAATAATAATGATGATACTACTACTACTAATAATAATAACAAAACAGCAGTTATCGATAATAATTATAATGATAATGATGATAATAACAACAAAAATAATGATAATAATAGTGGTAATAATGATAATAACATTTCACACACACACACACACACACACACACACACACACACACACACACACACACACACACACGTATACACATATCAAAATAATAAGACATCAGAATTAAAACACCATAGAGTATTTACAAAGGAAGGAGTAAATGCTGCAGCAAGTCATTATACCCACCGCCATTTTTTTTTTAAGATAAGGACCCAAAAAAATTAAATGACCATCATTCTTGTCTGAGATAAAAGCTAGTTAATTAGAGACTGTTTCTCTAATTGGTTTGTCATTTGAGGATCACGGAGGCAAAAAGAAGGGAAGAGAGAGAGAGAAAGGAAGGAAAAGATGGGAAGAAGGGGTGAGAAGAAGGGTAGGGGGGAGGAGGGAAGGGGAGGAGGGAAGGGGAGGAGAAGAGGGAAGGGAAGAAAGGGAGGGAAAGATGGGAAGAAGGGGTGAAGAAGAAGGGTAGGGGAGAGGAGGGAAGGGGAGGAGAAGAGGGAAGGGAAGAAAGGGAGGGAAAGATGGGAAGAAGGAGTGAAGAAGAAGGGTAGGGGGGAGGAGGGAAGGGGAGGAGAAGAGGGAAGGGAAGAAAGGAAGGGAAAGATGGGAAGAAGGAGTGAAGAAGAAGGGTAGGGGGGAGGAGGGAAGGGGAGAGGAGGGAAGGGGAGGAGAAGAGGGAAGGGAAGAAAGGGAGGGAAAGATGGGAAGAAGGAGTGAAGAAGAAGGGTAGGGGGGAGGAGGAAGGGGAGGAGAAGAGGGAAGGGAAGAAAGGGAGGGAAAGATGGGAAGAAGGGGTGAAGAAGAAGGGTAGGGGGAGGAGGGAAGGGGAGGAGAAGAGGGAAGGGAAGAAAGGAAGGGAAAGATGGGAAGAAGGGGTGAAGAAGAAGGGTAGGGGAGAAGAGAGGAAGGGAGGGGAGAGGTGGATAGAAGGGGAGAGGATGAAGGAGATGGGAGTGGATAAAGAATAGGAGAGAAGAAGGGAAAGGAGGAAGTGGAGAGGAGGAGAGAAGAGGGAGGATAGGGGAGAGGAGGAGAGGGGAAGGGGATGGGTTGATATTAAAGATAATTGAGGAAGAGAAGGGAAAGGAGACGGAAGATGAGGGAAGGTAGAAAAAGAGGAGAAGAAAGAAAGTAAGGGAAAGCAAAGGGTGAGACTAGAAATAGAAGATATCCAAAAAGCAAAACAATAACATTAGCAGTAATAATAACATCAAATAATAATGATGATATTACTAATAATAATAATAATAACAAAACAGCAGTTATCGATAATAATTATAATGACAATGATGATAATAACAACAAAAATAATTATAATAATAGTGGTAATAATGATAATAACAATTCACACACACACACACACACACACACACACACACACACACACACACACACACACACACACGTATACACATATCAAAATAATAAGACATCAGAATTAAAACACCATAGAGTATTTACAAAGGAAGGAGTAAATGTTGCAACGAGTCATTATACCCACCGCCATTTTTTTAAGATAAGGACCAAAAAAAATTAAATGACTATCATTCTTGTCTGAGATAAAAGCTAGTTAATTAGAGACTGTTTCTCTAATTGGTTTGTCATTTGAGGATCACGGAGGCAAAAAGAAGGGAAGAGAGAGGGAAAGGAAGGAAGAGAGAAAAAAGGAAGAGAGAAAAAAGGAAGAGAGAGAGAGAAAAGGGAAGAGAAAAAGAGAATAAGACAGGAAAAGAGAAATAATGAAAGATAGAAAATGGTTATTCAAGAATTGGTGTAAATCGGGGATGGGGGTGGATGTGGGGGGAGGGGGGAGGAAGGAAGTGGGGAGATGAAAGTTAGGGATGGAGGGAGTGAGGGAGAGGAAGGGATGAGGATGCTGGCGGAGTGAGTGAGGGAGGAAAGGAAGATGGAAGACCTTTACTGCATTACAAAAATATATGTTTATATACTCGTATGCCTGTGACAGGTTAATACACTTAAACCATAGGGAAAAAAATGACAAAGAAGAAAATGATGATAACCATTTGACCATGTAACCTTTTCGTTTTGTCTCGACCAACGTTAATTTGTGTGACAGATTTAGGTGCACTCTGTTGTAAAGTGAAATTAATGAGGGACAGCTGTTATGTAAGGCAGATGGGAAGAGAATGGTGACTTTTACATTTTGAATTTGGGGAACTTTTAGTATATATATATCTGTGAACACAAATGCAGTTGTGGGTATACAGATATAAGAAGAAACAATGCCACAATGCGAAAAAAGTGTTCAGTTCATAATGTGTCAGTTAATTTCTTATATATATATATATATATATATATATATATATATATATATATATATATATATATATATATATATATATATATACACACACACATCTGTATCTATATAGCTGTCTATGTCTATGTACATCTTTATCAATATCTTTATCTATCTTTCTATCAATTTGCAGATATAAAGAAAAATAGAAAGATAGATAATAGATAAAGAGATAGATAGAACGTTCTGACAAAAACAAAAATCAAATACAAATAGTAACATTTCGTACTATCTGAAGTTACCCATTCTCACCTAACCTTCAAACCACGAGATACTTAC